GACAATAGAACACTGTGGGCTACTGCTAGGAGCCAATAGAACACTGTGGGTTACTGCTAGGAGCCAATAGAACACTGTGGGCTACTGCTAGGAGCCAATAGAACACTGTGGGCTACTGCTCACTCACTCATAGTCCCAAGGTGCATTTACATTACACCTTCAATAAAATGCTTGTCAAACGAATGGAGTAGTCCAGAAAACCTATGTACATTTCAGTCATTGTCCAATAGGCTACGTCAGACAGTGTGATGTGCGTCTGCACTGTTAAACTCCTCCTATTCATCCTAGTATAGGTGGTTGTGGTTCACCTTCTATCAGTAAAGAAATTACAGACGTGGGCATCCTGAGAAGTACCTGAGAGTTGGTGAGCTGACGTGACTAATGCTAAATCCTCAAGCCCTGGCTGCATCCCAAAGCCGAAATGCGTTGGTTCTACTTTTAGCAATAAATAAGCTTTTTTATTTAATTCCATTGTCCTCCAAATGTTGCTGAATCTCCCCTCTACTTCAGTTTGCATCCCAAATGGCACACATACGGTTCTGGTCAAAAGTAGTGCACTATATAGGGAATAGGGTGCCATTTGAATCACAGTGTCTCCTTTCCCTAATCATGCACTTGTTTCCTAACAGCCCAAGTATAGGGTGGAGGAGAAGGGTAACAGCCCAGCCCAGGGATAGAGCAGAGGAGAGGGGTAAGCCCCTTTTTGACTTGATAACTCTGATTTCAGGGCTCTGTTAATGGGCAAAGGAATATGGGAGAGCAAGGCCTGGCCAGTGGCTATGTCATGAACACACTCTAATTACTGGTGTGAGAGAGTGAGAGAGTGAGAGTGAGTGTGTTTATGTAGCTGTGTGTGTGGAGGGCGCGAGAGAGAGAGTCAGTGTGTTTCTGTAGCTGTGTGTGTGGAGGGCGCGAGAGAGAGAGTCAGTGCAGGTACATTGAGTCAATATGAGTGATGAGAGTTATCCCTCTAATCCCAGAGCCGTGACAGAGGGAGATTGTGTGTCCCACGGTCAAGGATACACTCACGCCCGCTGTCAATACCAAGATCTGTTAATGAAGCAAAGTCCTGGGAAAATAAATCTGATGCTCAGTTTCAGTGGCGCCTCCTGAAAAAATTCTCAGGGGGGGCAATTTTTCTGATGATTTAGGTGACCTACACACATTTTAAAAAAGATATGTCCAGCAACAACATGAAGACAGGGGCAGCATATAAGTCAATACCAGAAGCATTTATTGACTGATCTCAAAAGTGTTGGCTTACCAGGGTTGGTGGAGCCCTCAGTTTCATCTTTGCCTCGCAAAGCTAACTCAAACACTCCGCAAAACTTCACACACTGGATTAGCCGGCTGAGGATGTGGCGGTTCTTGCTAATGTCGTAGTAAATATATTTGTTATAGTGAATATGGAATATGATATGTTGAGTAAAATGTTGTGCTAAGATCTATTTAGGTCAGGAGCTGGTTATAAGTTCTGTTCCTATCCAATAACAATGGACAAAAGGGTCCTATCTTGTCAGCCTTGTCAGCAGGTGGCCAAGGACAACACCCACGCCATAGGCCTCTCAGTTCTTCCAACTCACGAGTTCTTGCTCTGAGGACACACACACACACACACACACAAACACACACACACACACATCATCACTGTTAAACACACACACACACACACACACACACACACACACATCATCACTGTTAAACACACACACACACACACACACACAAAAATCCCCTCTCTTAGGCTGAACATTTGAAGACAGAGAACCCGACTCAGAGCCAATGCAACAGTGACAGTAGCCTGGAGGGGACCTCGCCCAACTCATCAGGACCAATCAGAAGATCAGAACTACTAGATTCAACCTACTTCATTTATTGCATAAAATGTCTGCACACAATGTTTCGGGGCTCTCTTCAGATAATAATAATAATAATAATAATAATATGCCATTTAGCAGACGCTTTTATCCAAAGCGACATACAGTCATGCGTGCATACATTTTTGTGTATGGGTGGTCCCGGGGATCGAACCCACTACCTTGGCGTTACAAGCGCCGTGCTCTACCAGCTGAGCTACAGAAAGTGGATACTCATGGATGCGCATCGCAATTGTAAAATGTCAACACAATTGGAGACACCACGTCATTTTTGGAGACATGTTATTGACAGTAAACTATTGTAGATGCGACTGCTAACTAAATAAAACATTTTAGCTGGCTAGCTAATCATCTTAGCTAAATGTGGGGCAAACAATTCAGTTATTTACCGTTAATTTGAGGGATTGGGGTGAAAGAAATCGAGTTACATAGTGATACTTTACGATATACTGTATTGACAATATCGCAATATTTTAGCGCTAGTTGGCTGTACCTGCACCAAAACACCATTATTGTTCCTTCATAGCTTGTTCTCAATCTTTTCACATTGGGAGCCAATTTGTTTTCAGCACTTTTATTTCCATGACTGATCAAAACTCGTTCTCATGGCTTTCTGATCCCTCTGCAACAGACATATGGTGCGCAATAAAATCACAGTATCGAATCGCAATACGTATAGAATCATGAGACTCGCAATGCATATATCTTATCGTGAGGTTCCTGGCAATTCCCAGCCCAAGTTCATTTGCCACAACAAATCTCTTCGCTAGCAAACGCGATGTCTTCTCCAAAACGGCAATGTGTCTCCAGCAATGTTTACTTTTTTGACGTTCTATGGCATCTCCACTTTCCAAGCATATATGACCACATGTAATATTTTGGTAAGTGATGCAAATAGTGAACTATGTAGGGCCAGGATGTAAAATATATGTAGCTGCAGCAATTTCTCTTATCTGATATGGTAAGTAATGGGGCTTAATGTATAGCTCCCTAAGAGTTTGACGAACGGGTCCGTGCACGCGATTCCAGATATCTTTACCTCTGAATAAACTGCCTTTATTATACCATATCCACCCTGTCCAAAGTCTCTACTTGGTCTCAGTTCTCCAGTAAACTTGTGATTATCAACACTAACCTCATCGTTGTGGCGGCGGACAGCTAGCCTGTATCCCTCATCCAGTTGAGTGGCAATGTTATTTTTTCGTTCGTACCAATTTTTGGAAAATCCTCGGGTGTAGGACTTTCCGCCTTTAGTAGAAACCTGTTGAATTATTAAATTTGGTCTGGGAGGTCCTAATTGTTTCGTTGCCAATTTATCTTCATTTGTTCGCCGACAAAAAGGAACTTCTTTCAAAGACACAATCCGCTCTTTTCTTAGTTACGTTCATGGTTACGTTACGTATGACGAAAGCGCGTAAGTGCAAGCCCTCAGACACCCATAGAGATTGTATTGAAAGCTCTGAAATTTGAAAAAAAATAGATTTTACATGGGAGTCTATGACAGACTTCTGGGCGATTTTCAACCTGACTGAAATCGCCCCAAAAGGGGGGGGAGCCATTTGAAGCACGACTTTAGCCTGATTGGACATTACAACACTGATAACTACTGTTGCCGTGATATAATTGATTAGAAAAAAAATCCCTTCCTTTTCCCGTTTGGCAGTGCGTCGCCCATATCGCCCTATTGAACACACCGCCCCTGCTCAGTTTAGATTACGCCTGAAGAGTTATGAATCATCTATACTTTTACAGAGTATAATGTTTTTTACGCTTGTTTAGCAACGGGCATGTAAGCCAATGTGTAAGATGGGTTGTGACTTACTTCTGAGTTTAGGTCATTGATAATGTCCTCCATTTTACACCATTGATAATGTCCTCCATTTTACACCATTGATAATGTCTTCCTTTTTACACCATTGATAATGTCCTCCATTTTACTCAGTTCGGGGCATGTCACACCAGTAAGGTTCTGTAGAAGAAATGGATAGAAGAAAATGCTGTATTTCCTTGTCTGGCCCAGCCCTCCAAAGTAGCCTAGGCTACCCACCATTTAAAGCTTCACGTCAGAAGGTATGGCGGATGGCAAGTCTATTACTTTGGAAATGTATTCACTTTGGACCTCTAAACAGTCTAACTAAGCAGGTTCAAAAGAACCACGGGGCCTGTGAAGCATACTGCTCTCCTCCATTTCACATTAGGCCCACGCATTTCATTGTTCCAATTAGCGGTAGCCGCTGTAAAGGCTGGTTATAATGCCATGAGGCATTGATTTGTTTGTTTGGCGGTCATCAAGCTTAAACATTATTGCATTGAAATACACAGAGGCCGGAGCCTTATCAGCGCTTGATATTACTGTCCAATTAGCAGTAGCCGCGGTAAAAAAAAACCTGGGGAGTTCTGAATCACCTTTATAATAAAGCATTGCATGCATATCATCGCATTTGCGTAGTTGCATAAAGTAGTAGAGTATAGGCACTTACAGAAGTTGCACACATGGGGAAACATTTTAGTAGCCTAGGGTCCGGGAAAATGTTGGCCTTTTAAAAACGCATTTCATGCAATTCTATGTCAATTTAGATGACTGGAGACTTTGGCAGAATCTTTTTTAATACCACACAAATGACAGAAATGACAGGCTACTTTGACGCTGACAAACTGAGATCAATAAAAACAACCATGTCTTGAATCCATCCTTAACCGCGGCCTAGGTTTGTGTTGACATATTGTAGGCTACAGTGGCGACCCGTCATTCAGGGCAGGTGGGGCAGAGCCGTCATTCAGGGCAGGTGGGGCAGAGCCGTCATTCAGGGCAGGTGGGGCAGAGCCGTCATTCAGGGCAAGTGGGGCAGAGCCGTCATTCAGGGCAAGTGGGGCAGCGCCATCATTCAGGGTAGGTGGGGCAGAGCCGTCATTCAGGGCAGGTGGGGAAGCGCCATCATTCAGGGCAGGTGGGGCAGAGCCGTCATTCAGGGCAAGTGGGGCAGCGCCATCATTCAGGGTAGGTGGGGCAGAGCTTCATTCAGGGCAGGTGGGGCAGCGCCATCATTCAGGGCAGGTGGGGCAGAGCCGTCATTCAGGGCAAGTGGGGGCAGCGCCATCATTCAGGGTAGGTGGGCAGAGCCGTCATTCAGGGCAGGTGGGGGAGCCGTCATTCAGGGCAGGTGGGGCAGAGCCGTCATTCAGGGCAGGTGGGGCAGAGCCGTCATTCAGGGCAGGTGGGGCAGAGCCGTCATTCAGGGCAGGTGGGGCAGAGCCGTCATTCAGGGCAGGTGGGGCAGAGCCGTCATTCAGGGCAGGTGGGGCAGAGCCGTCATTCAGGGCAGGTGGGGCAGCGCCATCATTCAGGGTAGGTGGGGCAGAGCCGTCATTCAGGGTAGGTGGGGCAGAGCCGTCATTCAGGGCAGGTGGGGCAGAGCCATCATTCAGGGCAGGTGGGGCAGAGCCGTCATTCAGGGTAGGTGGGGCAGAGTCCCACTTGTTTTGAGCCCCACATTTTTTGCTACAAATAAAAATCCAACAATTATTGGGGGGAGGGGCTGGCCTGTTTTGCATGTTATTTTGGCATTAATACGTGTCACATATCAGTTTGCAAACAATGTAAAAAAAATTATAATAATCATTGAGTTAATAAATACACATACAAACATGGTCTCTATTTTGCTTTCTTGAGTAAGGCAGCTCCAAAATGCAGGTGTTTCAGCCTAGCTCAGTGCTTTCTGTGGTGGTGGGGCAGCCAGCGGAAAATAAGGAGCGTAGGTGTTGGTAATGTTCTCTAGTTGCGCCATGATTAGCTGAGTGTTCTGTCACTTGTGCGGACAGTACATCACCGCTAAGTCTAAGGGTAGAGCTCGGAAATTCAAGCCCCTTGGGTGCTGCCATAGAGTTACATTAGTAGTGCCCATCCAAGAAGGCTCAAGGTCATTGGCCACAGATAAAATGACGTCAAATCAAGTTATATCTACAGTAGCTTTGATTGGACTGATCATGTCAACATCATACTTTCATCAAATCTTAGCTAGCAGTCATGAATCAAGTCAACAATCTACTGGCAAATCCTTTTTAATCCTTGTCAGAAATAATGAAGATAAATTATAGATAAAACGTATCGGTGCTCATTGGCCGTTGGACATAAACATTACACAATAAGTTGGAAATCGCAAATTCAACAATGAGTGGTTTGGAAGGAATCAGTGACAGTGGCTAACTGCAAGCATTGCAAAGCAATCACTAGCCTGTTATTCAGTGGTGTGGCTGTGTGGTCCCAAATCTGGGATTAAGGGTCTCTTTTCCAGATGTAAAATGATAAACATTCAACATTGGCCATGCTGTCAACGAAGCATGATTTGTGCCGCGCTCAAAACAACTGTTAACTCGGAACTGCGAAAACTTGACTTCAGTGAGTTCAAGACAACTGGGAAGTCGGGAAAAAACGAGCTCCGACTGGGAAAATACGTTTTGAACGGTCGTCCAACTCGAAAAATCATAAAATCCGGAACTCGGGCCTCTTTCCAGAGCTACGACCTGAAGATCACTGACGTCATCATGATTCGACCTTGTTTTTTTCCGAGTTCCCAGTTGTCTTGAAAGCACCATAAATCCAGAGAATGCCAGACTTTGATGACAAAATTTGCCCATGAAGGACCGCGGCGCCACCTTCCTGTTCAAGTGAGCACAACACAGCAAGGTGAGTCCAAAAATGTCTTGTATGTTGCTTCATAAATGATGTAATATGCCAGGGCGATATGTATACTGTAGCTAAGAAAGTAATACTAAGTGTATGTTGTGCAGTAAGCTGTTAGTAGCCCATATGCTTTACCCTAATAATTTGGTCTATTTTCCCCTCGTAAATTTCACCTACTGTTCTGACTTGGTGGTGCACATGTAGCCTATAACCTGTTTTAGAGAAATGTCATCAAATATTGTAAGAGCTTTCATTGTCTGCTTATATGCCCCTGTTATTTATCCTAGGGTTCTGACTTGGTGTACAGGGAGAACGCTGTAAGAACGGCCCATGTTCTGAATTCTGTCGCTGTACATTTCAAAAGTGCTAAACAAATAGTTATATTGACTAGGTCCATCCTAGCTCGCTCATTAATGTCTTAATCGAAATTACGGATTGCCTCTTATCCGCTTGTCGTCCCCTTATGCCAGGACTGCCCAACCCTGTTCATGGAGAGTTACCATCCTGTAGGTTTTCACTCCAACCCTAATCTAGCGCACCTAATTCTAATAATTAGCAGGTTGATAAGATTAATCAGGTCAGTAACACCTGGGGTTGGAGCTCTCCAGGAACAGGGTTGGGCAACCCTGCCTCATGCCATAGTTTGTACATCTCAATTGTCATTAGAAACCACATCTGTTTAAGCAAGTCAGCCATATCAGCTTATGTTTTTTTTAAAGGCAGTAAATGAGGCTGAATGAACTGTTTATCAAATATTTTTGGTAGCTACAGCATAGAGTCTTCTCTTTTCAGCAGGAGGCATTGCTTTCCAACCTGTTTTTTCCCTCGATTGTATTTGAAATATTGCAAAAGGCCTGTTTTGTCTGTGTACTGTTTTTTCACTGACAGATTTGCTGCACGTTCCCGACTGTAGACTATTCCTTGTTATTGAGCTACAATCCACAGCTATTGATCCTCTGTGGCTAAATTATAGGCCTTCTCATGGTGTAGCAGGCTATTCTGAATGATTTCATTTATTTCAGACAGCAGTAATTTTGTAACTTTGGCAAATGTATTTCAATGTATCAGGCGTTCTGCAGTTCCTCCAGAACCCTTGGTGCAGCTATGATTCTATTAGGAAATAAATGATGAAGTGCAACACTGGAGAGATGAGAGTTGCAGGCTCATGTCTATCAGAGCAGAGAGGGAGAGAGAGATCATAGAAAGTGATTCTCATTCTAGTTATGTGAGAGATACTGGCGCGCTTCTCACACGGCCACGGCCACGCGTTGGTCTCAAACATAGGTTACAATGTTGCGCAAACCATAAACCCGGTCCGAATCAACTCTTAGAATATCATGCCCGGGCTGAAAATCTACTTTTTCACATTACGTTTTTTTTGTGGGGGCAGGATAATTAACGAAGCGCAACTCGAATGAACTTTGATCGCTTTTATTAGAATTTTTACATTGCAAAAAGTGAAAAAAAAATTTCATGCCACGTGAGGGACCTGATCCGGCCAAATATGTTCCAGAACAAAACAGTCCCCCCCCCTTGACTCCCTCTCCGGCTGAGTCTGACTCGCTAGTAGGCCTACTAGCTAGTTGAGGTGCCGGTGGTGATGCTGAACTGGCCGGATTAGCCCCTAACCCTCTCCTCCGGCACTGACAGTTCTCTGGCTCGTTCTGGGTTCGATTCACCATCTTTCTCTGGATTTTTGGACTTGAAAAATGTCAAACTCGATTGCCTTTTCTTATCCACTTTTTCGTTGGCTTTCCCACGAATCAAATTCAGTAGGGAGACGACTAGAGTAGGCTACGTGACGTGATTAGGTAGGGACCTATTCACTAGCTGACCACAACTACCTAGACCTGTGTCAAGATCAGTTACTTACCCCACTGGCCCTCCCCATAGCCTCTATGTACAAATAAGAGAGCAGGTCTGGAATCAGTGTGGCAGGACAGTATGATTACATAGAAGGATCGCCACGCTTTACATGATGGTCTTTCTGGGGGGTGGGAGAAATAACGAGGAGGCAACTTGATTTAATGCTGATCGCTTTTATTAGAACGTCTACAGTGCTAACAGTGAAATAATTAATAAATCATGCCGCGAGAGGTCTCTCCACAGGACCGAGTAGTGAGTAGCCAGCGAGCTGAAGGGTTTGGGGTGGATTCCTGAGAGGGATTGAGCGCCTTTTCACTGCACAGCCACTACTCTGTACCTGGAGAGGGGTGTTATCTTTTTGGTTTAGAAATTATTTTGCTTAGTATAACCATTATGTTCGGAATTTCTATATTGAATAAATCATCTAAAATGGATGTTTAAAAAGTTAAGAGAATTTAAAATGCATTCTATGCTGTGGAAATGTTCATGTTTAAAAGATGTTATCATGTTTTTGTTTTTTTGCACCTTATGTGTGGAATGATCTCTAAAGCGCTCTAAAATGTATACTCCACCTCTTCTGATTTGCATTGCTCTTTCCTGCAACAGTCTTTTCCCGCTTGACATCCATGTAAACATTATACCAGAGAAGAAGAAGACATCCATGTAAACATTATACCAGAGAAGAAGACATCCATGTAAACATTATACCAGAGAAGAAGACATCCGTGTAAACATTATACCAGAGAAGAAAACATCCATGTAAACATTATACCAGAGAAGAAGAAGACATCCATGTAAACATTATACCAGAGAAGAAGACATCCGTGTAAACATTATACCAGAGAAGAAGAAGACATCCATGTAAACATTATACCAGAGAAGAAGAAGACATCCCATGTAAACATTATACCAGAGAAGAAGAAGACATCCATGTAAACATTATACCAGAGAAGAAGACATCAATGTAAACATTATACCAGAGAAGAAGACATCCATGTAAACATTATACCAGAGAAGAAGACATCCATGTAAACATTATACCAGAGAAGAAGACATCCATGTAAACATTATATACCAGAGAAGAAGACATCCATGTAAACATTATACCAGAGAAGAAGACATCCATGTAAACATTATACCAGAGAAGAAGACATCCATGTAAACATTATACCAGAGAAGAAGACATCAATGTAAAATGAACAGCTTCCCACTGTGCAGACACCTAGAACAGAGATTGCATGTTAAGCACGGGCAATTTACAGAAGAGCATGCGTTTAACATTTCAATCAGATTGGGATATTGTTAAGGTGATAGGAAAACTTGACACACCGTATCTGCCGGTGGGTGACCCACACCCGCCTCCTCTCTTTCTCAATAGGGCACCGAGCAAGCTCCAAATGGAACGTGTGTATTTGCCTGTCCTACTGCTACAAATGACAGCATTAACATGGAGAGAGCGTCCCCTGATCTTTTGAAGCCCATCCTGTTCATCCTGCCTTTTTGATCACAGTGTCTGTCAGGAGCAAAAAAAGAACAGAAGCGAGAGGGAAAGAGAGGTAGATTAATCATATTTGAGATTGCACAGGCAAGATTGGCTGAGCGTCATGATTCCTTCCAATTTATTTCCGGATGTGGTTGTGCTGTCACTGGCATCGCCTCGTCGAGATGCATCCTGCACCTTTCCGTCGGAGCTCTGTGGGAGGTGTAGAGAGGCCGCCCATCCAGCTACGGTCTGAATCGTCCCGTTTCTCAATCTGTCGATTAGAATTTTAAACACATAGCCAAGATATCCGCCCCCCGCTGTGCGCACGACATGCCATTTCAAAACAAACTGGATACTTATCCTCTAATAAGCAGGTGAAAAGAACTCATGCTAATAAAGAGATTAGGCCTGTAAGAACGAATAGGCCTGAAATAATAGCAAAGCATAACATCACTTTCAATAATGAAATAACATATTGTCTGGTGTGTGTGTGTGTGGTGTTTCAGGGGATGGGGTACTGTGACAGCAAAACGTCGCAGTTGTACAATGGCTAAACAAAGACATGTTTTATGGGGACTTTTATTTTATAAACCTCTTTCCATTGGTGTTGAATAAATGTGTGAATGATGGTGTGTTATGAATGCTTGTCTATACCCCCTTCAAGTAAAATGTTACCAGTGTGTGTGTGTGTGTGTGTGTTTGGTTTTAGTATCCTTGTGAGGACCAATAGTCCTCAGAGACATTTTACCGGTCCCCACAAGGAAAAGGGCTATTTTAGGGTTAGGGTTAGAATTAGGGGTTGGGGATAAGGTTAAGGGTTAGGGAAAATAGGATATTCAATGGGAATCAATTGTTTGGTCCCCACTAGGATAGTATAACAAACGTGTGTGTAAATGTAATTGCATTTCTGTCAACCAAAATTCAAATTTCAATGAAATTGAGTGACTGTCATAGAATTAGATTAATTATATAAAATGAAACTATTAGAAATCAGATTCTATGGCATATACTGCTCATGTCATTGGATATGAATGTGTGCATGTGTGTTTGTATTGTAATATGTATGTGAAGGTATATATATTGTGTTTCTATGAACTGTACCTCACTGAACACGGCCCTGGCTGCTCCTGTGGAAATCCTCTACATGTTGAGGTGGCACACTGAGTCACATGCTGCGTCTACAGTATCCCAGTAGACTGTAGCGGAATCAAAGTGAACACAGCTTTAATACATCAGTTAAAGATACACTATTTGCGGAGGCAAAAAGGTTCTGTATAACCTCTTTAATGTATCATTCTGTCAAATCAACAAGCCAGTCAAAATACTCATTCTTGTGTTCATTTGACATAGAATGACCCTAGTACGAGATCCATTGGACAGTGAAGGAATCCTTATTTGCTGTCAGGGAAATCCATGACCTGTGGGGTTGTGGTTGTGCAATTTCCTTAACCGTCATCTGGGGGTTGTTTTATTGACCGATCTTTTCATCACAAAGAACGTCTCATGCGTCGCAGCAATCAATCATGGGATTGGACACTATTTAGATCCTCTGTGTACCTGTGTCATTTCCCTGTGCTCCATCCCCCTCCGATATGACACTGATGAAGGACTGAAGCAGCCCTGTGCTCCATCCCCCTCCGATATGACACTGATGAAGGACTGAAGCAGCCCTGTGCTCCATCCCCCTCTGATATGACTCTGATGAAGGACTGAAGCAGCCCTGTGCTCCATCCCCCTCCGATATGACACTGATGAAGGACTGAAGCAGCCCTGTGCTCCATCCCCCTCAGATATGACACTGATGAAGGACTGAAGCAGCCCTGTGCTCCATCCCCCTCCGATATGACACTGATGAAGGACTGAAGCAGCCCTGTGCTCCATCCCCCTCCGATATGACACTGATGAAGGACTGAAGCAGCCCTGTGCTCCATCCCCCTCCGATATGACACTGATGAAGGACTGAAGCAGGAACAGGGGTGTGGAGAAACAGCACTCCTCCACTGAAACAGCACTCCTCCACCATTTAAAGCAGCTTTGCCTTTTGATGCATCAACAATTTATTTTTATTTTTATGTCCTGCAAGGTTTTATACCTTTTGTTCTGTGGAGCCATACAAAAAAATTAAAAAAATAAACTTGGATTCCTGATGCCATGTCACCCTCCTTCAACCTTCTAGGCCAAGGGGAGCCAACGTGTGTGAAAAAAAATAATAAAAATAATGCACTCACTAACTGTAAGTTGCTCTGGATAAGAGAGTCTGCTAAATGACTAAGATGTAAAAAATGTGTGTACAAACAACTGCCTGGCAGGACCAAGCCAGCATCAGTCTACAATTCAAGTATCCTTTAAGTGCCTGTTAGTTGTGATGGTCGGTGAATGTTTGCATGACATAATTAATATCGAATGACATGAATTCTCCAAAAGGAAAAATATATTTTTTTAAAGGATCCCTCATTCTCAAGGATCCCCCATATTTAAATACATTTTCATTTGAGATACCTGAATGCATAAACATGAAATTATACAGTCTGTACAGTTCTGGTGCTAAGAGAATATTATTTTCCAATAGTGGTGTTTGACAAGGGTATTTCGCTTTGAAACTGAGTCATGACATGCAATGGTGATGAAATCAAGTTGTTACATTTTATTTGATCAAGTTGGTGCTGTATTGAATAGAATATGCATCTTTGTCCATTGATTGGTTACAGGGACGATGCAAAGTAGTGCATGATACAACACATTACATATCCTTACATATATATTCATATACTGTATCACAAAGTCAATGCCACATTCATCATACATGGAGCAATACAATTATGTTAACGCAAAAAAAACACATTAAATTAAAAAAGGCTGTACCTTTAAAATATACGAATCAAAAAACAGACTAGAGATGATCTGAGGGCAATCAAATAGACATAACGTGATTTTTTTTTTATTGGAGGAAGGTCTTGTACAAAAAAAAAAAAAAAAAAGAGACAACAGATTAAAGAAGACTAAATGGAATATTCCCAAATGACACACTATACTCTTCAGTGACCTATGGGCTGGTCAAATGTAGAGCACTATATAGGGAATAGGGTGGCATTTGGAATGCAGCAGAGATAATGAATGTTTTGTGACCTAAGTGCTTAGTTGATTCCCTAAACAGGGAATAAAAAACTCCTGTAGTAAAAACATGAAGCTCCCCCCCAACTCTCGGTTTGATCCGACTTTCCCTTTGATCAGATGAACAACATACTGTCTTTGGGGGGCCGCCGCAGAGAATGAAAGCGTTCGCGCCTGTGGGGACTGGGCAAAAACAGAAGACACGTGTGTCTTAAACCAAAGCCAGTCTCCGTCGAGGACACTTTGGACTGATGTCCATATCAGTGACTGTCGATGATGTTATCCAATTTGTCGCGAAAATGTGCTGACGAGGGAAAATGTTTGTTGACATGCGGCTTGATTGAACCATATAATGCTGTAAATGTGCGGTGAATGGTTGAAATTGCGAGCCCTCTTTTTGTACTGCGATGATGGGTCAGTTTTATAAGAAAAACAGATGATTTGACTGTTTTATGCAGAATTAGTGCAGCGATTGGTCAAATTTGCAAGCCCTCGCATAATATGCAGGGAATTGTTGATTTAGCAAAAAAACGTGCGATTGCGGAATCCTGGAGGGACTGCTCAATGCTCAGTCTGAATGAATTCAGTGGCGCATCCTTCAAGCAACAGGGTGAACTAAGGGGTTCAATACAACCTAAACGGTATGATACATGGGAGCCCCAGAGGACATTGGGGACATACTAAAACACACCATTGAACAGGTAGGCTTCGGGCTACGCTGAGGGAAGTTGAAGGAATTCCATTACAAGAAGCACAGGCTCAATGGTTATTGGGATATTGTTAAAGGACTACAAGCCCATCACCACCATTAAGAGTGTTTAACTGAGGTGATTTCATGGCTCACCACAACAAGAGATATGTATAGCTGTTTGGAGACGTGCGTCTAAACACGTGTAGTTAGTTTAGAGTAAAAACACAACTAAAAATCTATTTTAGGAGTTAAACAACAAACCCTTAAGAGTATAATACCAGCGCTTATCCGTGACCGCCGTAACACCAGGAAGACTCCAGGAAGACTCCAGGGGGCTCGTTAATTGCCTAAAGTCTGCTGTGTCGTTCATCACACAGCCATTTCATTGGTCATTTGGCAGAGAGTGTCTCTCTTCCACCCACTGAGGAGCTGCCATGAATACGGGCGAATAAGAGTTATAATAGCCGTTTGTGTGGGCGGGACTAGAAGGTGGGCGGGACTAGGAGGTGGGCGGGACTAGAAGGCGTTAAAGAAGTGGGAGGGGATGCTATTTTTTTTTAGCTCTGTTTTGAAGATTGACTGGCTGTGTTCACAATTTAAAAAGGAAACAGTAGGTTAAAATGCCTTTTTTGATGTTGAATGTCAAAATGATCTTTCAACACACCCACTCCCTCGTCCCTTTATAGCAATAAAGCTATTTTAAAAATGCAACGTTCTCTTAAACACCTGGGTCCTATTGGCAGGTCCATACTTACTTACCTCCACTTTATCATAATGAGATAGGCCACGTCGTTAACACTGATAACACTAGAACAACAACAGTGAGAAGCAAATCTCCAGTCCCGTAAAGAGGAACAGTGTACACATTTACACAAGCCAGAGCAAAGGCATTCCCTAAAGGGCAATGGGGGATGTCAATGTTAGTACGTCGCATTTTTCTGGATTCCTTTTTTTTCTTTTTTGGGTCAGTCCTGAACCCAGAGGGAACCAATGGGATGGCCGTGTAAGGAGGTCACTGAAGAGTTAAAGGAGGAAGAGAAGCCAGGGCCACCATTCAATGGCCGGTACCTAATGGCCCAGCTCCTCCCCTCTTCAATGGACAAGAGTTCAAGAGTTTCTGCGGAAACTATTTTTTTTGTTGTTTTGTTTTTGTCATGTGTACTGTGGAAGTTCTCAGAAGTTCTGGAGCTCTGGCAGGTTCTTGTAGAGGTCAAGGGAGTCCGGGTTGGAGAAGGCCCCTCGCTGGGTCACCTCCCTCCCAGCGATCACCTGCTTCACAGCCACCTCCACC